CTGCTCCTCGCGCCGCGTTCGGAGAGCGCAGACGGACGGGGAGCCGCTCCGCTGGGCTTCGTGTCGTGTGCTGCAGCACAGCCTTACGTTGGTCAAAAATTTTACCTAGCTGCTGCATTCAGAGTGGCTGCTTTCCCATGGCTGAAAACCATCAGATTATACAAGCAAGCATCGTTCTCCCAATGTATTGGCACTTATCTGGGTATTAACTAGTTGCCCTTCACTAGCACAAACGAAACTCCTGTAACTCTTGCTGCTACCTTGGTAACAGTGATCAGCACCTCACCTCGCCCTTATACAGCACTTTATTGTGGACATAAGGTACAAGACAGAGTAGTTGCAAATATTGTAGATACGATGATATGGCCTGCTCAGAAACTCCAACAGAAGCTCTGCTCAGAGGTTCTTCCCACCAAAGCTCCAGGTTTCCAGGCAATCCCTAGCTCAAGAAATGACAACTTCCAACCAATCCTCACCCATAGGCACATTTGCCCTAGTAAAGTAACAGCTCTTGTATATGTAAAGGCTCTGAAACAGCATCCAGACATCGCCCACCAACACGGCAAAGACGACGTGAATCAGAGAGTTCAGCTGCCTTTACTTCTGCGTAGATCAAACCAAACCTCCCAAACTGATGGATGAACATGAAAATATCCCCCCCAAAAAACACGCTTACCTTTAAAGCTAAAGCATCTGAAACACATTCTTGTTGGTGAAGAGGATTTTATCAGAAAAAAGTTGTGCAAAACACAGTGCAGGCACATATATAATTAGTGCCAAGATTGAACAGAAATTCATATGGTGAAAAGGTGATTTTTTTGAATTTTGATGGCTTTTGCTATCACCTTGAAGTTAATTTTATCAAGTTCTTACATATTTATTTGCACCTAACAATTATTTGATTTTTAGCAATATAACTTAAAAAAAATTGTTCTGGTAAACCTACTGTACTGCTGAAAGCAAAGGAGACCTGCAAGCCATGTTATTTGCAGCAAGTTACTTGCAAAAATTAGGTGCCTCATGGTATGCTTTGAGGTTCAGTTTTCAAAGTTGCTGAGCCCTTACAAATTTTTGTCATCTGAAGCCTTTGAGGTTCAGTTTTCAAAGTTGCTGAAAATCTTTGTCATCTGAAGCTAGAAATTGGTGAGCTGAATTCTGGTGTTATTCAGGAGAGCTGCATGTTTTTGGTTTTTCTTTCCCATGCATTTCTCCGTACAATTTTTTTTTTTTTTCTTCTCCATACAAGGTATGCAGAAGATTTTATGATCTCTAGCGGTCCCTTCCAACCTCCACCACCCTGTGATGCTGCTGTGCCTGTTTGGGAAGGAGCAGCGACCAAGTCTGTCGCTGTTCAGGAGCTTGCGCCGCTCCACACATGGGCTTCAAGCCGCAGGGTCTGCAATTTGTGAGAGAAGGGATTTCACCTTCAAGAGAGGAAGAGGGCGTTTCCATTTTTAGTTTCCAGTTCTTTGAAGTATTCCTTTTCCATTGAGCAGGGATCTGGATAGAATTTGACAAAAAAATTCATTCCTTCTTTCAGGTTTGGTTTCAGCAATAAAGAAGTTAATGAGATCACATCTGGTTTTGCCCTGTTACACTCTACAGGAGTCCCCTGGCAAGAGCACCGTTTTCTTCCAGCATTTTCTTTCATCCCTCTGCTGTGTTGAGCGTGCAGACGCCGCCACGTGACCCAATTAGCAGCCGCCCTAATGAAGTTACTTACCCGCACTTGCAAGCAGGAGTTGCAGTTTCCCAGCAACAGCCACCTAGGACACTGAGACGGAGCTTAAATGGTTTCTTTGGTGCATGACAAGAGCGCAGAAACATCACACAAAAAACACCCAAAAAGCTTCATTCCATAGGTAACATTTCAATATTGACACATCTGGAATAGCTGGGTAACAAGTTGTGCATGTCGAGTTCACAAAGCAGCTGTTTTTAGCCTTCATTTTGGGCCAGACATTTGCTTTCAGCCACCAGCATATTCTGTTTTATTTTGTAGCTGCTTCTTCAGTGTTCCCATATGGACAGGCTAAACACTGCACGGATATAGCTGCGAGGATATATAGTGTTCTTTAGAAGAAATGAAGGCCAGATGTTGCCTCATTATCTTCACGTGCATCCTTAAAAAAGTTAAATTAAGTTGTTCCAGTTATGTTATTAATACCAGGTATGGGCAATTTGTTCATAGGCCATTTAAATGTCAACTTTCTAAGAGATGGAAAATAACATTTTAACTGAGGATTTAAAATGAAATAAAAAGAGCCTCCCTTAGAATAACTTCATGAAGTAGGTAGAGCAGAACCCAGGATTACAGGGACAAAAATATAGCGCAGGGTAGACGTGATAACCTATTTCTGATACCCGAATGCCCCTTATTTCTGGCTTGTCTTGTTTAGAAAAATGAAGAACCTCATTGTTCCGATACAAGGGCAAGTCTGGGGTAAGACCAGCACAGGCACTGATTAAAGGTGCTTCTCTGAGCTCCTTCACACGCGCAGGACACGGCGCAACCCGCCAGCCCCAACGCTGCAGCCCTGGGCAGCGCGAGGCCCCGGCAGCCTTCACGCTTGGCTCTTCATCTGGCCGAGCTACCAGCGTCGCTAGTCGTTCCTTACCAGACCGTCCAATAAAGCGATTTAGATAAAAATAAACTGCCTTTAATTTCTTTCTGATGGCCTGAGAATAAGCCCTTATGGTAGTGGTTTTATGGCAGGTTTGTTTATAAGGTTCCTTCCCCCCCTCCGCTTGCAGCTGTAACAGAAACGAGGCCCAGGCTTCAGCGGCCCGGCGAGTTCTTTCTCTGCGAGCCGGTCTGCAACAGCGCACGCACAAAAACTGCCAAGACACCAACTATAACTTCTTTCTGAGTAATGTCACTTTATTAAGGGACTTAAGGATCACATTCTGTAGTAGTCTCGGAACAATGCAAATAGTGAACAAAAGACAAAAATAGATGTAATTGGTTCTGAAGAGCATGAACATCTGCAGAGAATGTGTTGCATTATTCCTAAGGACTCTACTTTTTGGAAAAAAAAAAAAGCACACGTTCTGTATATACAAGTGTCAGTGCAATAGCCAATAAAGCGATCGATCAATCAGAAATATAAAAATACCCTAGATACAAACATAAAGTGGATGTTTGAGAGCTGACAGTACCAGCTCTGTTATTTCTGTACCTCAGGAGCATGACCACTGGGATGAGTTATTCTGATGAGGTAAGAGACAGTAGATGCTCTGTGATAACACAAAGCAATATATAGATATATATATATATTTCTCTTTTTTTTTTTCCATAAGAAACAAAAGATAGAGCACCCAGTGAAATTTCCAATCTTCGCTGCAAGTGCCCACAGGAGGCCAAACTACAGCCTGCGAGTGTTGCCACATTCCCACAGCTCATCTGTTCGGCGCCTTCGCCAACAATTACCCCAGCAGAATCCCAACAACTCCTCCCTCTGTCCCAGCCTCAGTACAAACTGCACCGGCTCTGCAGGAACACCCAACCCGCCAGCTCCCACAAACACAGACACGTTCTGTAAATGCCCCAAAACCACTCATCATCCTTTCCTCAGCTGACTGCAAATCTCTCCTTGACAGCAAGGGCAGGGAGAGATTTCGAAGCTTGTCAGCCGAGCAGCTCTCTGCTGGGGTTAAGGAGAGAAGAGGGTGTGAGGTGTTTGCTTTGCTTGGCCCCAGGTGTTTCGGCGGTCTCGTCGAGCCGTAAGGGCCGAGCTCCTTGCGCCCGCTCAGCTCCGGGTGTGCGGAGGGAAGCGCCGCAGGGAAGCAGGAAAGGCCGCCTGGCCAGAGCGCCAGGTCTCCCAATTCCTCACGTTGCAAAGAGAAGCAAAAAATGCCCTTTATGTCTGCGTGGCGAAGCGCCCCGGGAAGAGCTGGGAGCGGAGCTGTGAGGGACAGAAGGGCAGGAAGAACAAAAACCTCCTACTCCACAGGGGTGCAGCGAGGAAGAGCTGATTTCAAACTGCGCGTCAAACGCGGGCTCTCCTCTCTGGAGAAGCACCATGAATTATGTAGACGCCAGTACCTTCAGATTAACTTTAACGGGACATGATTCATTTAATGGAAAAAAAAAGGCACACCAGGAGCTGGCACTCTCCTTATGGAACTCTCCTTACCACTTACGGCACACACGTGCACTGAAGCACACAGCAGTTACTTAAATCTTTAAGAGATTTCTTATCTTTATATCCCAGACTCAAAAGCTTTCTCTTTACATCTTTGCATTTTTCATCATTCTTTCCTAAGCCCCTTTAGTCTCTGGCAAATTCAGACAGCTGTGCGCAATGGAAAAGCGAAGCCTGCAACATCTGTAGCACGATGGCCCTTGACAAATCATCCCCCGTTTTCCTTTTGGTTCCGGAAGAGGCTTCGCAGGTGTCCCAGCCTCCAGGAATCCTCACCCGTCTCTCCTCAGGCCACCTCAGCGCGGCGCGCAGCACGTGCAAACACACACGGGGCCTCCTGCATGCGCCTGCAGCGCCGGCTCCTGGGGGCGCCCGGCGGGAGAGGCCGCGGCCG